AAACAATCCCGTTTACCATCGCACCAAAAAAATTAAGCCACCTAGGAATAAACTTAACTAAAGAGGTAAAAGACCTCTACTCAGAAAACTACAGGACGTTGAAAAAAGATATAGAGGAAGACATAAACAGATGGAAGAACATACCGTGTTCATGGATTGGTAGAATCAACATCATTAAAATGTCCATACTACCCAAAGCAATCTATAAATTCAACGCACTTCCCATTAAAATACCAACGGCATACTTCATAGATCTAGAACGAACTCTCCAAAAATTCATCTGGAATAAAAAAAGACCCCGAATAGCGACAGCAATCCTGAAAAAGAACAAAGTAATAATTGCATTTAGATGTTCACCTTTGCTTTATTTTAAGAGAATATTTTGTCTACTTCTACTCAGTAGGTTCAAACCCTCTACCAACTGTCTAGTCAACCTGACTCCACTGAACTATAGCAGAGAATGTCCCTGGTGTTGCTTTTACAAAACATGGTTCACCCAGTTAGGAAGCTGCTCTGGATCTGACCACTCAAGGAGTACACACTGGTGTAATATTGGAAGATCTGCTGCTCTTCTCTCTCTAAGTAGCTCCTAACCATTACATTACTGTTAGTGCAAGAAGCGGCCCTCAGGTTGCATATATAGGTCATAGCGAACAATTTCCCTGTTGACAGGGAAGAGGCCCACTCAGATTTTATATTCTAGAGATTTACCTTAAGAGGGACAGGTCATAACTTCTTGTGGAGCATGTTTTCTCTGTACTTGCACCTCATTTAGTCATTTCATGTGTGGTTTCAATGAGAAAAAGAGAGGAAGTCATGCCAGTTGGTCGAATAGTTCTTCTGGACCCACTTTCTGTCTCTGGTACTGAATATTCCAGGGGGTTCATTTTCATCAGAGATGGGTCGGATGTGCATCTCCCTTGATCTTTTTACTTGGCTATCTATCCCTGTGTGCAATACGGAAGGTGCAGGAAATCATCACGATTTCAGAAATTTAGTTTGTTTTGAAATCATAATGTGTTTTCAGGTCTTAATTTGTTCAGATTTAAATGTCCCCCCTCCCCCCTCCCAGGGCTGCTTAAAACTCCTATTTTGAGTTCGTATAGAAGACATATGATAAATACGGTGATTTTGTTTTGTTCTTAACAAAATCTTAAAACAAAGGAAAACATATACACTGTGTGGAAATCCCAGCCCTCGGGACATTTGTGGTCTAAGTCTGCCCCATAATTACAGTTTGAAAAAATCTGGCAGGTATTTAAATTTTGCCAGCTGCAAGGTGAAATAAAACATTGAGTTTCTTGGCTAGAATTAGAGTATATCAGTCAGTGTGGTAACTAGTTCTCATGCTGATCAAAAATCTCTGATTCACAATTAAATATTTATTTGGCAAGTAAATATTGGAAATGAATGGTACTTGATAAATGCTATTTGGTAGATTAAAATCTTTAGAAGTATGGACTCTGGGAAGGGCGGTCTGTGGTGGTAAACAGGCCTGTGGAATCACTCTCTGCCACGATCGCGATCCCATCAGACTGGTGCTGTGGGTCCCTGGACTACTTTGTTCTCTGCTGAGTTCTTTTCTTGTGTGAATCTTGGGTTATACATGGCAGGACTCATGAGTGTAAATGTTGGAATTCGGGACTACTATTAGGCCACTTTAAAGTAGGCTATGAAATGTTCATTTTTTAATTTTATGTTCACATTTTTTGTATTGTGGATAAACAACCAAGTGAATCAGTGTGTGTGTGGCGGGGGGAGGGAGGGAGAGAGAGAGAGAGAGAGAGAGAGAGAGAGAGAGAGAGTGTCTGTGGTTAGGAAGGGGAAACAGAAAGCACGCAACATATATTAGGCATTATTCTGTCCATTAGAAGGTCAATTAAGCTTCATAGCTAAAGAGCCAGTGTGACTTGTAAGTGGTAAGTATTGGGGGCCAAGTATGCAAGAACATAAATTGAGTCTAGAAATCCCTCTTCTGGGCGTGATGGCACTTTGACTTAGTGGGAAGAGCTCATTGCGTTCAGGCACATCAGCTCCCTCGCTGGGCATCCTCCAGGTAAAATGAGGGGATGAAGGGGATGAACAGTATGTCTTTAAGGTTGCTCTAGCCTCTTCAAAGGTTGAATTCTAATTTTCTTCTGTGTTTAGAATGCATGAGTTTTTAAATAACAACAAAGCAAAGTAGCCCCAGTTTCATTCTTGTGCCATAGCCTCTTCTTAAATGTTGATTAAATCCTAGTATGAAAGGTGATTCTGACTTATCCTAGTCAAACTCTAACAGATCAAGACAGAACCCTAAATTCTGACGGATCCAAAGGATATTAAGTTAGTGCGCGGGTATAATCTCTTCATTCTTAAAATATGTATAAAACTGCTCATAATGACCATCAAAATGGCTGTGTTCCACCTCTGAGCCATTGGATGGTGCATGGGGGGAAAACACAGCAAGACTCATGGTCTCATGAGACATCCGAAAATACCTGTGAAGCCTTTTTGTTGGGCTCCTGGGGAGCAAATGAAGGAACCACAAAGCTTGGGGTCTCCTAGGCAGTAGTTAACCAAGAAGTTATTGTTGCTGACGTGAAGTTCATTAGACAGGAACTATTTGCCTAAATCAAGAACAACAATGAAGGCAGCGTCAGAGCCAGGAGGTAGTCAGGGGCAATTACACACAGAAAACTGGGTTCCTGGGGACAAGGGTAAAAGGAGGTGGTCCGTTTTTGGTGGGCCTGCAGCAGAAGCCAGGAACCCACTGGCTCCTCGCAGTGGCTCTCGGCCTTTCCAGCCCACGCTCTTCACCACCTGTTTTGAATCAGTTTTACAGCATCAAAGGTATGATGAGATGTTTTGTTTCATAACTAGTCCAAGTCTGCCATTTGAATGGGGCCAATTTTCAGATAAGCAGGGGTGCTAATTACTAGCCCTGTCCAAATTTAGAAGAACTTCTCAGAGCTTTTTCAAAACCGCATTCAGATTATAGGCCTCATTTAAGTTGCTCAAGCGGGGAATTCCAGTAGTAACTTCTAACACTTAGTCGGAAGGCCTCAGTACTTGACATGCTGTAGGAGTGCTATTGTTTCTAACAAAAATTCTCTTGTTCCTAACAAGTGTTTACTTTTGTGTTCGCAATACCACTTAACATCATTAAAAAAAATAAGATCATTCAGAGCTGTCTCTGAATGACTGAATGGTTTGGATGCCCAGTGCTAGATTCAGCAGAAAGGCTACAAAGGTGACATTGATGAGAGACTTTAAAATTGCCAGTGGGCACCAACTCTAGGGTTCTGGGCTTGTGGGCAGAAGTTAAGTCGTTCAGCCCTGCCCTTCCATTGTATCTGCTCAGAGTCTGGAGAGGAGACTTTGGACTGATGTATAATTCTAGAACACAGCTCTATGTGGACACCTTTTATACTTCAGTGCAAGCTGCTACTCAACTCCGAGGCTCAGCTTTTCTGAGTGCATCTTTGCACTTTTAGTTAGGCTCTGCATCTTGCCAGGCATTTTGTGTGGCTCTGGGGTTGGAGGGGTTAATTTTTAGCAGACATTTACCAAGGTAGTTCAAGGACCCAGCCAGCTCACCTTTCAGTCCCCCACCCTGTGCTAAAGACAGTACTCTGAGCTTCTTTATATTGAATTGCAGTGGTCCCTCCCCTGTTTTTCTGTAAGCCTCCTGGCTTTTGTGTAGCTTGAACAGTCATGAATGAAAAGCTCAGCTCAACGGAGGTCGGAGTCAGCCCCCGAAGTAAGCAGAGAGGCATCAGGCTGCCTTCTGGTTCCTAGTTTTTCTTTTTTCCTGCATGTGGTTAAGCTGTGGAGGCCCCTATGCTGGGGTCCACTGTTGTCACCTGGGAGCTCTGAGAGCCAGCCACCTGGCTGATTACTGCAGGCTAGTTAGGTACCCAGGGTGGTTAAAAATATATGTAAATGATTTGCTCCTGGTACATGCAGTGCATTAGAGATGATCTAACGCAAACGTTTTCAGCAGACCCTTCTCTTCTAAATTGTGGCAGAGGAAGGTAACATAATTGTCTGTTGGCCCTGAACACCCTCCTCTTAGTTCGTCAGCATCTTTCAGAAATTGGGGTTATCTTGCTTTGTGAAAGGAGGTTTTTGCACAGCTCGCTCAGCATTGTTCGAGGCTGTAACACATCACTGAACAAATTGCCCCCTTGCATATGCTAATCCTGCCCTTAAAATAACTCATTGTAACATGTTCTGATGCATTAGCCCAGAGGAGATGGGAATTGACCAGCTGTCAGATCATGTCATGTGACCCCCAAATATCTAAAATGCCTCTTTTCTTTGGGTCAACAGTTCATACTCAGCACATGCAAATGAAAGTATCCTGTGTGGTTTGTGGAAAAGATTAGTCCTTGTTCCTGCTTTTATGTGTGGGAACTGGCCTGGCCCTTGAAGATTCACTGGCTGAAATTCCCTCTTTGGGTCTTAAATTTCAGTGCTTTTCACCAGGAGCATCAGATCTTATTTTCAACAATAAATTAAAAGAACTTAAAGGAGTTTCTTCATTGTTGCTGCAGGAAGTGTTGATTTGTCTTAGTAAACTGTGCTGATAATTCCACCTATTCTGGCGTTTTTTAGGAGTGACACCCTCTGACTTGCAGTCACAGAATAAGTCTAATAAAATAACCTCAGGATTTACTCATAGGCCATTCATGTTCTTGACCAGGAAGTTGCAGTGGGAAAGACTAAAAACACGTCCCCATATAGACAGCAGGTTCCCATTTCTCTCACAGTTAGCAGAACATTTTAAGTGAGTAGGGCCCGAAAAATGGTTTGATTGCATAGTCAGGGTCTCCCTTTTAAGTACTTAAAGTTGTATAAATGTTTGCCATCCAGTCTTCAGATGAGATGAATTAAATGGAATGAAAGGTGATGTTGGTATCACCTTTCTAAAACAGCTATCACGTTCAGGTTGGGCTTTCATGTGTACAAAGAGACCTGGGAAGAAATCTTTGATTAATTTTTTTTTAATCTTGCAGAGTAATTCCCTCTTGGTCCCAGACAGTCTACGAGGCACTGATAAACGCAGAAATGGGCCTGAATTTTCCAACGACATCAAAAAAAGAAAGGTGGATGATAAGGATTCCAGCCACTATGTAAGTAAATAAAGGACTTGAAATAATATTTCTTGCTTACTTGCTTATTTTCCAAGTGAGTATACAAAAGTACTCTAAGATCTTAGTGATAATCCACAGCCCTTAAAATAATACCATAAAGAGAATAGAGTCTTACACCAGGATTTTATTTCCTTCTAGATCTGTAAATTATCCTTCTGCCAGGCTTAGTATTAAATTTTAGGCTTCCTGCTTTAGTTTCTCTTAAGCGGAGACACAAGAATGCAGGGCTGGCCTCATGGGCATGCAGTTGCATAGGGCCCTGCTTGTGAAAGGACCCTGCCTCACCCTTGGTTCTAATGCTCTACTCTCAGCCATCTTCACTTTCTCAATTTTTGAACAAGGACTTGCATTTTCATTTTGTCCTGGGCCTCTGCTGCTAAAGTGAGCAGGGTAAGATCTGTGGTGCCACAAAACACCTTTTTGAATGCTATTCTGATCACCTCTTTTTTTTTATTATTAAATATATTTTATTGATTTTTTTACAGAGAGGAAGGGAGAGGGATAGAGAGTTAGAAACATCAATGAGAGAGAAACATCGACCAGCTGCCTCCTGCACACCTCCCACTGGGGATGTGCCCGCAACCAAGGTACATGCCCTTGGCCGGAATTGAACCTGGGACCTTTCAGTCCGCAGGCCGACGCTCTATCCACTGAGCCAAACCGGTTTGGCAGTGATCACCTCTGTTTTATAAAGAAACTAAAGTACATACCTTGCAAGTGGTTTGCCCAAGGTCAGAGCTAGTGACTGAGCCTGGAGGCAGTCTGACTCCAGAATCCATTTCTTAACAACTGTGCTAGGATTCCCAAACCGAGGTCTTAGGGTGGATATTTTGTCAGAGGTCCTTTGAATTGGTCTACACTTTGCACTATAATAATAATAATAATATACAAAGAACCCAGGTTTTTGGTCCTTTCCAGCCCAAGCCTTTCAGCACATTGTTTGCCCCTTATCTTTTGCCCAGAGCCAGTGCCCCGTGCAGGTATTTTTATATATAGCATCAACTATTAATAAGCTAGTGAAAAGGTCCATGATATCAGAAATTTGGAAATTTGCCAATACAATTTCAAGTTGTTCTACTCATGTATGTTAAGTTATTTAATAATGAGTGAGCTACAATCCATAGTTCTGCATGTCTGTTTTGTAACATGCGTGTATGGCTAATTGTATAGGTGATTGAGGGCGTATTGAAGCGATATTAAAGAATCTGGGACAAAGGCCTCAGGACCCAGGAATACTGTACTGTGAAGGTTTATATTGGCAGAAGGGTCAACAAAGCTAAGATTTAAATTACAGAATACTTAAGGACTCACTTCAAAGATCCGTTATAATAAGTTAATTGTTGGCTACTTTTTGTCAGTTCAGTTACATTAACTATTTCTATAAAAAAAAATTTTTTCTAAAAGGGAAATACTTTTAGCTTCTATTTTATCGCCACTCTAGCTTTGGGTTCTGTACACCTAGGAATATTTAAGCTTTTCTGTGGGCTTTACTAAGCAAATGCAAGTTTTCTTTAGTATTAATTTTCCTTTTATTACATGAAAATATTTTTCAGTGGACTATTTTGAATTGCCTCGGCTTCCTCATTGGTGGTTATTTCCTGTTGTTGTTGGTGAATTTCATGGTGCTTTTATAACAGTGTCTAAAGTAACACATTACTGAAGAAAGTAAATTATGTCTCCCACACGTAATGCTCTAGGTACGGTTAGAAAAAACATTTAAGACCTGACTTTAAAGCTGAGGGTAACTTTCCAGCCTGGACTTGTGTCCCACAGAAGGCCAATGTGGGTAGTATTTGCACTGTACTAATATTTCTCAAACATTATTTGTTTATTCTCAATTGACAATGACATCAGGAAAAGGACTGTTTAGGTCATAAACTACAGGCCTACTTCTCTTTGGGAATTAGGACCTGTTGTGATAGCCTACTTTTTCTGTATGCTCATTGTATTATTTTGCACCAAAGGACGTCAGGCCTTTGGGCTAGGAAAGTAAACTGCCTTTTTTAGCCTGCCTCAAACTTGAAGAGTGATCATATCTTTAAATTGGACAGCTTTTCTGAAGCCTTTTCAAACTCAGTGCAACCTTGGAGTTTCCTCTGATTATCAAACTATGGCTTTATGAAGAGACGATGAAAGCCCTACTGCAGGATGCTGGTGCCCGCCACCGTTACCACCCTGTCTTCCTTCTGTATCTCCAAAAATATTTTATGCTGGTTGTTTTTACTTTTTGTTTGCTTTATATTTTTTATAGTAATGAGTCACCCCATGGGAACATGGTTTAAGTTTGTCTTTATAAGCAATTATTTGTGAACGTTAGATTTGTTGGCTGTCTTCAAGGTGATGCACATAAAAGCAGTGACATGAAATTGTGTTCATAATTTGAAATCCAACGAGAAAAGACCTGATATAATGCGGATTTCAGATTGTAAGGGCAATTCAGGTTGAAAACAACTATGTGCCACACCTCATATGCCGTCTGTGATTATATAACTGGTATGCTATTGCAACAGAAATCCCGCCTGGGGCTTGTGTAGCCTCAGGTCAGATAAGAAGGGGAGAAGGTGGATTCATTCCTAAGGCTGGCAATCTCTAAGGGAGCCCATAGGCTTACCCCAGGCGTTGTTTTTTTTTAGTCTGCCTGATATCAAGAACTATAGAAATTTAACTGGGCTTCAAACCTTTAATAAATGGAATTTAATTTTTTTTTTTTTCCAGGACAGTGATGGTGACAAAAGCGATGACAATTTAGTTGTAGATGTGTCTAATGAGGTAACTACACTCTTTATCAAACTTTATGTTCAGAGTGACTTGTGAGAAAAAGAAGTGGAGCCACAGTGCTTTGGTTTCTTTCACCTTTATCCATTGAGAACTTAATGGTTGTTCATGGATGGAGCAGTCATGCTGCACCTGACCTGAACTTTTGTTTCCTTTAAAATAAATGTTTCCCTAGTCATTCTGGATTCCTAAATTGGGTCCCTGGTGCTCATTTTCTTCCTGTGCCCTTTGGGCAAAGTATTTGAACATGAGGAGGGAGATGGTTGTTCCCAGATTTTTTTTCCCTTTATGGTGTCTAATCGGGTATATTTGCAAATACCATCCTTTTAAGGAGAACAGTGTTAGTGCGCATACCCTCGAGTCCCCTAAATCTAGACTTTCAGCATTTCCTTTACTTTAGAGGATTAGTGTGGAAATAAGAGTGTGTAGAGAAAGATCTGTCCATCGTAAGCAAAATCATGGACTCTTTGCTTATGCTTGTTAAGGACCCTTCTTCTCCGAGAGCAAGCCCCGCCCACTCACCCCGAGAAAATGGGATCGACAAAAACCGCCTGCTAAAGAAAGATGCTTCCAGCAGCCCAGCATCCACCGCCTCTTCAGGAAGTTCTACTTCTTTGAAATCCAAAGAAATGAGCTTGGTAAGTAATAAGAACTCTCACTTGCCTCGTTAGCAGTTAAGTTTTCTTTGTGAACCGGAGGACCCTAAAGTATTTGAAATGTGGGGTTCTTACTGATTGAGAATTGATTTTTAAGTGTTTAAAAGTGACACTCACTCTTCTGTTCTTTGTTCCCACACAGTGTTGCTCTTTCCCTCTCAGTTGTCTCTTTTGGGTCATGATGAGAGGGAGATACAATTCTATGCTCCTTGCCTTCTTACTTGGGGGGTATGCTCCTAGCACAGACTCTCTGAAACTTCCCAGTTAGCAAATAGTTCAGACCTCCTAAGTCCTGAGAAGTCCTCATTTTCTTCAGCTGTACATTTTCACCTGGTTTCAGACGGAACCATGCGGTCGGGGCATGTTGTGATTGGGCTGCTGGTCAGTTTGGTGGTGCACACCAGGCGGCACTGGGGGAAGCCTGGAACCAGGCCGCGGGGCTGGGGGGGTGGGGGTGGGGGGGCGGGGCTGCAGCAGAGCCCGCTGCTTTCAGTCCGACAGCAAACACTGTGGAGTGTGTCATCTCTTAACTCACCCTAGCTGAGCCATAACCGACTATAGTAAATCCCTACACAGTGTCATTTCTCATGCCATTTCTCTGATGGGGAGAGAAGCCTGAGGCACTTGCCAGTTTATAAAGCCCATCAGATCCAAAGCCAGACAGAGATGGGGGTCTCTCTCTCTCTAGCACATGTTCTTTGCTATTGCACCACAGAGCTTCTCAGATGGATTTAAAGGACATGAAAGGTTAAGAGGCTAAAGAAGATAACTCTGTCACCCTGTAACTGCCTTGACTCCTGCGCTAATGTCCGCATGGGTTATATAGGCAAGCAGGCAGTGATGCTTAACACCAGAGCACCATCTCTTCATTTTAGGCATCTCTCTCAAACACAACAATGGGACTAATCTAGGGCTTTTGCCTCTGGGATGCTGATTTGCGTCTCATAAAATCAGCGGCCCTGCTGTGTCTCACCATTAGTCTCACTCCCACTGCCACGAAAGGCAAGATTAGAAGAGTGGTCTTCCCTCTGGCATTCTTGGTGACCCGGCATTTTTTCCTGAGTGACCAGGAGCTTTCTTCTGGATGGTCATCCTTCTGACTTGGCCTCGATCCAAAGTCCACACGCCTGATGGAAAACTACTTTGTAAAATAAAAACCTGCGGAGGAAGAAGTGTAATCATGTTCTGTGTCCCTCGCTAGGGTTTTATTTCTGGCAGGAAGAGGAAAGGTCAACATTTCTCGATCACAAGTTAATGCTGTCAACATTGTGTGGATTTATGAAAATTGGCTGAGGGAGTAGCTAGAAGGTGCCCAGTGTTCCAGCTGCTGTTGTGATAAATTGTGTAATAGGGCTTGGATTAAAAATAATACTCATTTAATTTGTTTAATGATATCAGCATGAAAAAGCCAGCACGCCTGTTCTGAAATCCAGCACACCGACGCCTCGGAGTGACATGCCCACACCGGGCACCAGTGCCACTCCAGGCCTCCGTTCCGGCCTCGGCAAGCCTCCAGCCATGGACCCCCTCGTTAACCAGGCGGGTAGGGCATCGCCTCTTCTTGTGCTTTGTTTTGTTTGTCCTTCCCCAGCTTGATTCGTCATCTGTTCCTATTGTGACGCAGTTTCCCCAGGAACATAAAATGTAGTTACTGCCTGCCTCCCTCCTTCCTATCTTTGAAAAGCCCTGATAAGAAGCAGATGTTCATCCTTGGGTTTCAGCAGCTTCACCCTGTCCTATTTCTAGCTGTTTACATTTGACTTTTATTCCCAAATAATCCAAATCCCATGGACTTCAGTCAAGTTTCTGATAATTATTCCGAATGTAAGCTCCTTCCCAAACTGTGTGTCTTGAGTTCGCTAATATTGACCAAAATGGCCTGTCTGGCCGGCCCAAGTGTACTCCTTGCTTACTCCAATGGGCCAGTTTTCTGCGGGTCCATCAGGAATCCGGGATCTCTCTTTCAGTAGAAATCTGGAGAATTTCAATGAGACTCCAGCCTATGATTGAGTAAACTCATAACCTTCAACTTGATCTTCCTCTGGGAAAGGAAAAGAGTAACCTCCCAAGGCTCAAAGGAAAAGAGGCTCCAGGATATTTCTTCTAAATCCGTGCTTTGGTTTACGTAAATCCAGGACCAGGTTTTCATTCACCTCAGTTTGCCTTGTGTGAATTGGGTGCAGGGATGCTGCTAATTCCCCCTGGTTTCCCAGTGCTGCTCAGGAGGAAATGTGTGGGCAGTGCTTCCCCTGGGGTCTGTTCTTTCCAAATGAATTCAGCTTTGGGGAAGAAGGGACCCTGTGTACGAACTGGAGTTGATTCACCATCCCACAGTCCTCCTTCTTTTCCTTCCCCCTAATGAAGAACACTAAAAACTCTCCCTGAGCCGCCAGTTGAGTCACATGTGCCTTGTGCTTCCTTGCAGCGGCTGGCCTGAGGACGCCCTTGGCAGTGCCCGGCCCGTACCCCGCCCCATTTGGAATGGTGCCCCACGCGGGCATGAACGGCGAGCTGACCAGCCCCGGTGCCGCCTACGCCAGCCTCCACAACATGTCCCCGCAGATGAGCGCAGCGGCTGCTGCTGCCGCTGTGGTGGCCTACGGGCGCTCCCCCATGGTAGGTGACCTTGGGAGCATGGCAGGCCCAGGTGGCAGGTCCCACAAAGCAGAAACAAAGACCCAGTGTCCTCGCCGTGCCTGCCTTCGCCTTGTTCGCCTTCATCCACGTGCCGCTCCATTCAGTGACGGCCAGACGTTTTTTGCTTTACTCTCTTTGTGGATGAAAAAGGCAGTGTTTAGGAGCTCCTTTAGTGGTTCAGGGGACATCTGGTTTTCTCCCACCAAAGTAGATTTTTTTTTTTTTTTTGGAAGGCGATGAAATAACTCAAGTAGCTCACAGAAGCCTTTTCATTCGTTTTCTTGAGTATTTTTTTCCCCTCTTTAATTCTTAGGAAAAAATATTTGAGAAGCTGAAACTTTCTCTTTCCATGCCTATATTATTCTTTAAACCCAATAGAATGGCTTTGGTGTGAGGAGTGACCTCAGTGCAACAGGCGTAAACACAACAGGGACGGAAACCATGGGGCGCTGTCCCTCTGGCCTTATTTTTGACCAGGGAGATACAAAACTGCAGAAAGGAAAAATTGAATGGGAGCCCTTGACTGCATCAGGACAAGGGGAAAGTTTATAACCCATAGCAAATAGAAGTCTGAAAATATTTCCTCTTGGTTGTTTGCAGTATGTCATGTGCATTTCTCATTTGTTGGTTCTTCCCTTATGTTTCACTTGCAGGAAGGGCAGTGCAGTGGAGGACAGGATAGTTTAAAGCCAAGTGGGCAGCTGAGGGACTAAGTACTGCGATTAAGGTGCTCAAAATCATGTATGAATCCTTAAGGATTAACTTAGACCAGTGGTATGAAACTGGGGCGATTTTGCCTCCCTGGGACATTCAGTAATGTCTGGAGATACTCTGATTATCACAACTGAGGATAGAGTCCAGTGATGCTGCTAAATACCCTGCCTTCTCCTGGACAGCCCCCAACAAAGAACTGGCCCAAAATGTCCATAGTGTCAAGGTTGAGAAATGCTGACTGAGACAGCATGCTGCGCTGTGTACCTGCCAGGACCAGGCAGACCCGTATTGGCCATGGGAGGCTGGCTCAGTGCACAAGAGATCCCTCTCCATTCTCCCTCCCCAGAAGGAAGTGTGTCTTGTATTTAGAGTTGGTTGTATTGCTTCTCTTACAATGTATTTCCTCTGGGAATTGCTAACCTGTGCTACTGTTCCTGTTTAAGCTGCTTTGGGGACCTGAGTTTCCTGTGAGACATCTGTAGAGATGCTCACCAATGCCTGCCCTGTAGAAACTGAGTCTGCGATGCCTTCTTTTGTTTCCAGGTTGGGTTTGATCCTCCCCCTCACATGCGAGTACCTACGATCCCTCCCAACCTGGCAGGAATCCCTGGGGGGAAACCGTAAGTACCTCCAACTTCTCAGTTTTATTTTCAAGGTGGTTACTTAGTCATGGGTATTATCAGATCAGAATTCCAAAGGGAGCACAGGCCTGGGTGTTTCCAAGGAGATTTCTAGTGTCTTTTCCTGAGGAGTGTTAACACTTCCTATAAATAGGCACCCTGTAGGTGTCATGCCCCTGTCTTCTCCCGGTGGGTGAGCTCATGCATTCTGTTATTTCTGGAGAGAACTGTTGGAGACAGGGTGAGGAGCGCTGCAAGGACCAGGGGTGGGTGGCCCTCCTCCCTTCACCTTTCGGCAGAAAGCTGCTCTGCTTTGCCATGTGGTTAGAGGGTAGCTGCAGGGGACTTCCAACAGGACTGTGTGGTGGGCAGTAACCTGTCATGAACTCTTGAAATCTCAGAAATTTGAAACATATTGTCTCTTTACCCAGCTCAGTGCTACCTGCTCCCTATTTTGGTAGAAACAAGAGTTTGAAAAGGGTATGTTCTGTCGGATGCCAACATCCGAGGTTGACCCCCAAGTAAAGTTTTGCTAAGTGCCATACTCTGAGAGGTTCAGAATTATAAGAGCAGAGTGCCTGTGTGGGGAAGCAAGACAGGTTAAAGGGCAGAAAAGCATTCAGAATTTGAAAAGCCCTGGTGGTTATTCCTCCAGCGTCACAAGAAATCACTTGCTTTCCATAGTTAGTAATTAGAAATGTGATTTCCAAGAATTCCTAAAGTTCTCAATTTTTTTTTTTTTAAAGCAAAATTGAAATATGTCTTACTTCCTAGCAAGTACTCTGCCTTTCTCTGGGATAGAAGATGGCAGAAAAGCCTGTTCCAGTTTTGTTGATTTTTCTAAGTAGAGGTACATGTCATAGGCCTTCAGTTTATTTTTGTTACATTCTACTTTTGTGTGTTTGCAAGGGACACATAAAGTGGAAAGCAAACATTATTATTGCATTATTTTGAGTGGCCCATTCAACAATTTGGTCATCCTTGTGTGATTTTGATTGGAGCCTTGTTTCACCTAAACCAGGAGCATGAGATAAAATGGAATTCTTTATTCCCATCACCTGCTTTTAGGAAAGCAGATTCCTGTTGTTCACTTTTCATGCATTATAACATCTGTTTCATAGTAATTTGATTAATGATGAGATTAGGCTTTCTCTACACTAGGAACTAGTAGAGGTGCTAAGAATTTAAGGTGGCATCTTAGGCCCAGGGAAGAGTGGGCTTGGGGAGTGGAACAGTGTTGCAGGTGCTTCCTTAGCTGGTGGATCCTTCCGATTACAGACCCATCAGCTACTATGTGCTGTGTTTCCTTGGGTGTGTGGCCCTGCGTCCAGGATGGGCTTTTCTTATACGTGCTTTGCTGGCAGGGTAGCTGTTGGGTGTCCTATTGTCTGGTGAGCAGATAAAGGGAAAACAAGTAATGTTGTGATAAAAGGCAATAATTCATAGTCATTGGTGGATCTTTGGGAAAATAATGGGCACATAAAGCTAAGTTCAACCAACCATTAAGGAAAGCCAGTTTCAAGAGTTATTGGTAGGAGATGTGCCTCGCTGCCAAGACCCCACCTTGAATGCGATATGTGAGGAAGTTGAAGGGAAGGTGGGCAGAGGTATGAACTACACTGCTGGTCTCCAAGGCTGTTGTGCAGGGGATGGTTAACGGACACCTAGTTCCCAGTATTTGTGCATGTGTGTTTGTATACAGTGTTGTGTGTGTTTGTATGCAGTGTTGTGTGTGTTTGTATACAGTATTGTGTATGTCAATAACGTGATTAGACACAAAGATTAAACCTTCAGTGAACAATAATACTGGTGTCATGCTTATTAGAGCCAAAATACTCCTGTGCGTGGCTTGTGAGCACTTTGGGTTTGTGCTTACAGCAGTGTAAACAGGCTATGAGGCGCCCAGAGACAAGGACAGTGGCACGGGGACAAAGCTGTGACTCTCACATAGGAGGATGCTTTTCTCCCCTGGGTCAAATGGCCACTGGTGTTGGTCTTTGGATCAGAGCGGTCCTTGCTGTCTAAAACAATTAAAATCTGTTTTTTAGGATTGTCTTTCAAGTTTGATGTGTGCATATCATGTGAGCAAGATGGAGTTAATATCAGAGCAAAATGAACTCCCATTGTCAACAGGATCTGGGCTGTACAGCCTTATACCCATATCAACCCATGAATTAGTGACTTCTTTCCGGTTACTAAAGTGATGCTGCTCGAGACAGTGCTCCTCTACCGGCTATGATCACAGACCCATCTTTTCCTAGTTTGGCACATTGACACTCTTGTTACACACAACACAGACGAATGGGGGACGACACAAAGGACCCCAGTTTTTTAGTATAAGAGTCATGAACTGACTTTGTTGTATAAACATTTCTCAGTGAGTTGACAATAGCAAAGGTCTGCAGACCACACTTAGACCAGCACTGGTCTGAGACACTTAAGAGAAAGGGAGACAAACCAGTAAGTCCAGAGTTGGGTGAACAAGGTGGAAAAAGCTTTGCAAGGGTCTCTCTGAGAAATACCAATGGAAATATTTGGATGGTTATTCATGGATGTTTGAGCAGGAACTGCATGGCAGGCTTTGTGCTGGACGGTGGGCATGCTTCAGGCAAAAGAATGTTTGCTTTCCCCGCCTGGGGGCCTATTGATGTAGTGGAGACGTTAAAGGAACAACGAATGCTTTAGCTATGTGTGCGGTCAGTGATAAGTACTGTGATGACAGCAGTGGGTTATAGGCAAACATTTAAAGAATGACCAGTTAGGAAGGGCAGGGCTTCCTGGGGTGAGGTGGACACACTGAAGGCTGACGCATGTGCAGAAGGAATAGCCCCCAGGAAAAGGGACAGAGAGGGTGGGCTGTTGGGGACAGAGTGAGATAAGCTCCCAGCACAGGGAGCAAATGGATGCCTGCCTCCAGGAGAGTCCAGTGTGGGCAGCAGGGACCTTGAGATGCCTCTGGTGTGAATGCTCATCTGTGGCTCGCCTCCTGCGATAGCCTCTCCAAGTGGCTGTGCACCTCTGACCAAGCGTATCTAGTGAAGGGACTTGCTGCTGCTTGGCACAATCCGTTTTCTCCAGCTGTGTGAAAACTTTTCCAGCCCTTGAGCTGAGATCTGTCTCCCTGGAACTTTTACCCATCAATCCTGGTTCTCTCCTTCCCCCTGAGACCACATAGTGTGCCACTCATCCATCATCCTCACGACAGCTCTTCAGATATGTTTGGAGACCACCATCTGCCACGAGGCGTCTCTTCTGGCTGAACGTGTCCCTGCATCAGCCCTATCTTGTAGGATGTGATTCAGGTTCCTGCACCATCTGCTCACTGAAATCTAAACAGTTACCCCCCTCCTGTCCTCTCTTCCACAGATTTCATCAAGACTTGCTGCATGGGCATAGGGGACCCTATTGGGAGCTCACAGCCTACTGATGGAGAGAAACATTAATCAAATCATTGCAAAAAATAAATGCCTAATTATAATTGAGATAAGAGCTATGACAGAGGAACTCTTCTGTGAAAGCATGACGGGCTGATCCCATCCACGGGGAGGGTCAAAGAAAGATTCTCAGAAGTGTTTTCTGAGCTGCATTAACCTCCTAGGGCAGGGCATAACCTCTAGCTGGAGGAACCAGCATATGCTAAAGGTCCCGTGGCCTTACATTCTTTTTATCAAATTGGATGAGTGCAAGATGACTCATGTCGCCATTATCCTGTACTTGTTTTTGGTGCTAAAGTCATCTAAGATCTTGATAGGGTTTTGCAATTAACATGGTTATTTTCCCTCTCCCACACTGGTCTCTTTTAACTTCTATATCTTTGCTAAAGGCATATTCCCCATTCTGATATCTGGGCCCAAACTTAGCCTTTGATTCTTCCTATTTAACTCTCATTTTACTCAGTCTTTTATTTGTTAAAATTCTTATTTTATACTCATTTTTGTCAAAAGGATCCTAGATGAGTTTTCCCCTTTCTAAAGTACTTATCTGATCTCTGATCCATTTCTTGCTTGGAGGTCTTCAAAAGTTGCATGTAAGCTCCCCATGCGGCATTCAAGGGCCCTCGATAACATCACTCTAGCCTCATGTCTGTTTGCTTCTTGTGCTCAGGCCAGATGGGATATCCAGTTTTTCCCTGAAGTTTCCTCCTTCTATTCTGAGCAGCTTACCTTCTCATCAGTCTTCTCCTCTTCCTAAGGAAGTATTTTCTGTTCAAAGACCACTCTAGTTGCTGCCTTCTTCACAAAGCCTTCCTGATGACCTCACATATATGATCTCTCTCCAGTGGCACCTTGTAGCATCTCGTGCCGCCTTTTCACCTTTGGCCTTGAGTAAACTGATGTCTACATGTCATTTGTATCTGCTGCTTCCCCACAAGAATGGAAGCTTCTGAAGTCCCCTTTTCCCTGGAGCATCCCAGTAAACAACTGTTTGTTGCATTGACTGGTGGGAGATGAGCCCAGGACTGTAGGAAACCCTGAGATTCAGCCTTCCAGAAGGAGGTTCACATTTTGCATTTTAGAGTTTAGGGATGCTGGTTTTTATTTTAATATATTTATTTTTTATTTTAAAATATATTTTTCTTGATTTCAGAGAAGGAAGGGAGAGGAGGAGAGAGACAGAAACATCAATGATGAGAGAATCATTGATCGGCTGCTTCCTGCACAACCCCCTCTGGGGATCCAGCCCACAACCCAGGCATGTGCCCTGACTGGGAATCAAACCCTGATCATCTGGTTCATGGGTCGACGCTCAACCACTGAACCCGGCCGGCAGGGCAGTGGTGCTGTCTTATAAGTGGTAACCCTGACAGTCTCCAAATCCTTCGGGTGAGATTTATTTGGCATTGTTTAGTTAGCTTAACTGGAACTCATTTTTAGTTGTAGGCAGTGTATTCCCTAAGCTCTGTGTAGATAACTGGCGAAAGAGGTTTGGAAATTCAGTCAGGTTGACATCTCTTTGTTGTGGAGACGTTTTTTCTAGCCCTGGAGCATTGCTGTCCTCCA